GTCATAGACAAAGGAATGTGGGTTTACCTCAGTATACATACTGGCAGTAAACAAAGCCATCGAGCTAAACTGGTGGGGGTTATCCTGATCTGAACTCGAGAGACATTGAATTAATCTGGCTCCTTCACCCCAGAAAAACACAGGAGATTGAATCCCCGGAAGGGCTTCCTGACTTGGAAGACATCCCTTTGGAGATATAAGGAACAGAGACAGACTCCATCTTTATCCTTCACCCTAAGCCATTTGATCTCCGTGATGGGTCCTGGCCAGCCCCGCCAGTAAAAGCTGAAAAGGAGACTGTGGGTGAGAGAAACCATCTTGAACAAAGACTGCATCATGCTACATTAAGTATTAATCTTTTAGATGTGTGGTTTCAATTTTATTGTCTTGTAACCATTTCTACCTTTATCCCTTTTATCTGGTATCACTTAATCCATGGCTCGTTTGTAATAAACTTGTTTTCTTTCATTATAAATCATCAATGTTGTGTACTTCAGTAAAGTGTGTGCTTCTAGAAAGCTAATAGGTTGGAGTGTTTTACTGTCTCTGTAAAGACAGTGAACCTATCATTTCTCTGGCAGGGTTGAGTGAGATAGACTGGTCTCTGCAGTAGGACAATTTTGGGACAAATATAGGACTAAAAGCATACTAAGGTCAGCTTGCAAGGAGCAATCAGGTTGGGCAAAGCTAGGGTGAGGCTTGTGGGCTGCTGGGGTCAGAGCCCTAATCTAGATCAAAGCTACACAGTCACAACGAACCCAGGATTACATGGCAGATGGTGACTGAGCCTGGGTGAACCAAAGAACATCACAATTTTACATCTTCAAAGTCCTGAACTAACATTAAACTAATCCTCACAGTACTTTTGTTAAGTAGGTTAAAAAAACCTTTATCTTCATTTTACAGTTCAAGAAAACAAAGAGCAAAGCGATTTGCCCAAAGTCTATCCGTAAGTAAAGGGCAAAATGGGAATCAGAATATTTGATTACTACTTATCTTGTTAAATATTTGGTTTCAAACACATCTGCAATGGAATTATTCTTGCTACAGTAAGAGAGGCTTAATATTTCCAGTTTTTGTCTTTACATATAAAATACCATTGCACTACTGAAGACTTTTGCGTTTTAACAATAGTAGACACTTCTTTGCTTTCCACACAAAATTGCTTGAACTTGCAATTTGAAAATACACTTTTGAAAACGGACCTATTTGTTTAGCTGCCTATAAAAAAAGTTAGGTGATTAACTTTATGTAACCATTTAAACCTAGGCCTAGGATCCTGGACATATGTAACAATCTATATTTAAACATCTCAACCGAAGTAGGTTTTTCAAAGGTGATTAACTCCTGCGGTCTTCATTACCATCAATGGAATCTGGGGTTGCTCAACATCTCTGAAAAAGCAGGCCAATTCTATTTAGATGTCTAAATATGTATTTAGGAGCCTAACTTTAGGCAACCTAGTTTGAAAATGTCCTATATCAGGGGCTGCATACCTACATGTAGAAGTGTCAAGTCCATTTATTTGAAACTCCAAAATTGAATGGTTTGAGCCACCCCATGTCATTATTTTTCTCTTTATAAGTTAATTTAAAATACCACCTTTTACTATCCCATGATAAAAAAACAATAAGGAGTGCATTTTCTATAAGCTTTTAACTGAATTTCCAATATCACACTCAGTAAAAACAAGCTAAACCTATTTTATACAAGGAATTTATTCCTTACACATGCCGTTTCTTTTTGAGATTAGAGTTTTCCTAAATTTACTGGTGTATAAAGACATTGACTTTTAATTATGTTTGGTATAGTCTTTCAAATTTTAGTCATTTACATACAATTCTCTTAATACCCTTGCTTAAAAACAATGATAATGTTCACCCTCTGATCAGTCTTGCTTATGTCACAAAGACAAGCAATTCTTTCCCTTTAGCTTCAGCTATTCTCCTCTAAGGGTTTGTCTACACAATTTTTGTACTGATTTAACTATACCTGTTTAGATACGGATATAGTTAAAATCTGTGCAACCCTTAAAGTGGATATAGATATGCTGATAAGAGTATTTATATTAATTATAACTTATTTTGGTAAATCTGCAGATATTCAGGATTCTAGACAGTCCAAGGTTTCATTAAAAAAAATTCTATCCTTTATGCTTGGAAGACAGTCTTCTCAATTCAAACTTAAGTAACTCTTTCTAGAACTGAAACAAGAACGTCAAGAAAGATGTGAACTGCCCCGCATTCATCTCACATATGTTAGCTGAATCTTAAATAAGACACTTACAAGGTCTAAAAATGTAGACAGGCAACTGAGCGTGCAGTATGCACATACAATCCCATGCTTGTCAGTACAACAAAGCTTAAGAACTACCACTTTTCAATATTTTTAAATTAAGCTGTTTCAGAATTAAAGAGTATCTTGTTTAGTCAAATAAAATAATTGTTTGAAGAAAAGAAAGACCATGTACTAATATCACACATCACAATTTATATCACTTAAAAGCAACAGGAGATGTGTGACTGAACATCCCAGCTCCATATCCCCTGGGAAGAAAGGGATCTGAGAATTAGAGGCCAAGATGGTACACAGTGCACCCAGAGGTCACAAGATTGATTCTTGGGAGGTATCCAAATAATTTCATTTGCTGTTCAGCTGCTGAATCTCATTCCTGAGGATAAAACCCAGAATAGTGGATCTAGATATCTAACTTCCTTCAAGGAAGGCTACAAAATATATACTCACTTATGCTGGTCGCCTCTGAAATAGTTTACTGCTCAATGAAAAATTAAGATATATCCCTTGATGGAAGGTGAATCCCTTACTCAATGCGAACAGAGTTTACAAGCGTGCTGCTTTAAATTTGTGTTCGGTTAAAGGGTCAGTGCGCCAACATTATTATTTACCCTGTTCTTCTTTACAGTGGCTAACATTATTGTGATATAAAACCCTTCATAATCTATGACCTAAGCAGTAAAGCAGTTGAACCCTATGAACCTTCCCAGTAGTTACAATTGCTTTCTGTCCTTGTACAAAGTGAAGGCCAGACAATTTTCAGTCAATGGCATGATACAAGTCCCATTATTTTCAGCACCCTCAACCTTGTTCTCTTTTCTGTTTGTAACCCTCTTTTCGCTCCTATTCTTTGAAGAGGGTTGCCATATAAAAAGTCTGCATTTGTCAACTATTCCCAAACAGTGACATCACACTACTACTGTTTTTCCTCTGCTTTTGCAAGGATGTAGTAACTGCAGTAGTAGCTTAATCAATACTGACTTCTTACTGGCTTCCACTAAATTCACTGGGAATTAATCCCTTTCATCTGGTTTGTAAATGGCAAGAAGAAAATTTGGTTTGATTTAGATATACATTTTGGCAGGTTAATCTTAAATTTTAATGTAGGTTGCTTAGTTGCCTCATCACAGGCACTATATCAGCGTATTAATTTTTAAAAAATATTCTCTAATCTATTATTGAGTGTATTTTCTGTTACCTGGTATACTTAGATTTGCTACTACTTACACTGTAAACCGAGCAGAAACAAAGTAATATTCCTATTTAGCATTTTCAGAATTAACAAAACAAAACAAAAAAAAGTTTGTTGAACAGTCTAGGTTCCTCAGGGTAGGTGTTACTTGCCTTGTTTTGAATCAAATAAAAGTGTGATTTTTACATGATCCTGTAAACTGTCTGAGCATACCTTAAGTGGCAGTTTTGCTTAACAACTTTCAGATATACAGTAATTTTGATCTGACAGCAAACGCTTTCTACTAAAAAATTATACTACTACCATTTACATTCAATTTCCATTATTTTATGGTGGGCTAAACAACTGAAGAATATTTCTTATGTTCTCCTTCCTCCTCTCTCATTAACGAATAGTATTATGCACAACTTCTAACAAGTACAGGGGTTAACCGTACTTCTTCCGTCATCATATCAGTTTGATAACATCACAATGTGAAATGGGTATGCACCTTTTCTTTCCCAGTGGAATGCGTTACAGAAATAAAGAGAATTATTTAGGTATAAACACTAGAATGCATGACAGGAACCATCACAATTAACCACAAGGTTACATTCTACTGTCTATTTAAAGCTTGCCGAGATAAACCATACACTGCATTCTGATCTAAACAAACTATAAGGAGTACACAAAACATCAGTATTACCTGTATATTAGCACCCAAAAAGTTAAAATAATGAAGTAATGTGAAATTTCTGTTTGGATCACATAACAGTGGCAATACAGTAATGTAAAATTGGATCTTTTAACACTAAACTGGACAAAGTGTTCAAAAAGAATACTGTAAAGAAAACAACTGCATTGGGAGGAATCTAGACTGGATGACGTAATAGGTCTTTTCCATCTCCAACTCCTGTTATTTTAATCCTGTCAGAGACTTTTTTCCTTTGGTTGATCGCATAGTTTATAGAGAGCAAACCAAATTTATCTGTCTTTGTATATTAAACTTTGAGCCCAATCCTACTCTCATATCAGTTAACAGGAACTTTGCCACCGACTTCAGTGGAACCAGCACGGGGTCTGTAGTTCACTATGCATAAATTTTGCATGCTAGACTCCATCAGATTAATTAAGATTTGTACAGCTATATCAATGACAGTACTGTACTTCCTGCATGTCTAGCAAGGATATGTGTTTCACTGCCTACACAGTCAAAATCATGAAGCATGTACACCTGTCTGATGAGCAATGCACAACTGATTTTGAGCCAGAGTGCAAGTGATAAAGTTGCTGCTCAGAAGCTGGGAAAAAGCTAAAAGTCTGGTATGTTCCTTTTCATGGTTCCTAAGTCTCAAGGGAAAGAGCTAGGCATTGCCTATGCTTGAAGGTAAGGGGAAAATTTACATCATTTACTAGGTGTGAGAGGTATTTATTACTACTTCCTTATTGGATAAATGTACACTATGAATTAACACTTAAAAAACCCCAGAATTCTGCATGTATCTCTATATAAGTATCACAAAGACTCTCTTACTGTTCCAGGCATATGACCTCTTTCTTGTTTGCCATTCTGAGGACTACCATTTTTCAGCTTTTTCTTCTTCTTCACTGTTTCTTTGTGTTCTCTCTGTTTGTTTTGTACTTCGATGAGGACAGAAATGAAGCTATTTTTCACTTCCTTTTCAAACTCCAGCTCATCCCTTAGAGCCAACTGCTGTACCAGCTCCTCAGAATAATCCTTAATGGCAGTCTCAATTTCTTCTAGTAGTTCATTTAGTTCAGCAACAGACAGTTTTTGTACTCCTGTTAGAAAATAAAGACAAAGTGAGAGTATGTTCTGCATAATGTAGAAAAAGCAGTGTCAGTTTTTTAGGCATGGGGAGATTATCAACAAAAAGGATTTTTAATCATCCCAAGAGTTTTGATAATTTACACTTCCACCACCAAAAAGATGCCATAAAAAATTCTAAAACAAACACACTATGTGCTTCGTGGGGATACAAGTTCACCATGAGCTTTTTTTAGGTTCGCTATTAAAATATGAAAATAACCACAGCTTTTTGATTACTCCAGAACTTGGTGAAAAGTTATACATAATTTGCAAATACAGGATGACAGCTATCCCTAAAGAAAGTGTGGTGAAGCTGCACAAGAACCATCTCCTGACATGACAATCTTGCTATCAGTTTATGTCTATTTCTCTCTCTCTGAAAAGCTATTGAAAAAGTTATGGCAGGACAACCCATGGTCATTTCTGGAGTCTGCATATTTTAGGCCTAGTATGATCAAGAGCTCTACTGGGTGATGAAATTCTAACTATGGATTCTGTTGCTGATTCTTTTAAATCCACGAGAAGCTTACGTAACCAGTGATCACAAGATGTTGCCGACATCTGCAAATTGTAGGAAGAGTAGATGAGTCACTCAACTGGCTTTGCTCCTTTCTTACAGATCCCACACAGTAGTTTTGGGCAACTGCTCATTTGCTCCAAGGATTCTCACAAGGGGTGGTACAACAGCCTACTTGTTCACCCTGAACAGGAGGGGTGACAATCAGATCAGTGGAAGGCTAGTAAGAAAATAGGGCTGTGATATATTTAGCATGACAACAATACACAGCTCCATGTCTCTTTCTTCTCTGTTCAGGCTCTGTGGTGGGGAATGGATGATTTCATGTCTCTGAAATAGGGACTAGATCAGTGGTTCTCAAACTTTTGTACCGGTGGACCCCTTTCACATAGCAAGCCTCTGAGTGCGACCCCCCCATATAAATTAAAAACACTTTTTTATATATTTAACACCATTATAAATGCTGGAGGCAAAGCGGGGTTTGGGGTGGAGGCTGACAACTCGCGACCCCCCATGTAATAACCGTGTGACCCCCTGAGGCGTCCCAACCCCCAGTTTGAGAAGCCCTGGCTAGATGAAGGCTAGCTGACACTCAAGCCAGACAAGAAAGAAGTGATGTTGGGTCAGCTGTAGGGAGCATCAAAATACAATAGTGAAAGTTATATGGGATACTTGACAGAGGGAGTATGTCCACCATTTGCAACACAACTTTGCCTTTTAGAGTATTGTTAGCTCCCAAGTGGCTCAGGTAGTAGGTGTGACAAAGAGGAATCAGCAGATATGTTCAGATTAAAGCCTGCTTGATTTAAAAGGGAAGATGCTGATCAACGGATGTTCTCCATGAGCTCTCTGGCTGTAGAATTCACTCCCGCACCTAAGTTTGCCAGAGCTGGGATTTGTTACCACCTAGACATGCCACAAAGCCCATTTTTTCCCACTGGCATTTGGGGAGCGGGTCAAAGAGGGGACCTGAAGAATATGATACATATAGTGTGATGAATGAGATGGATATTATTGTGTGGTCAGATTCAATTATCAAGTATTTTGTAGATTTTATATTGTTGCAAAATTGTTTTAAGGATGTTAAACTGCCACCCCTATAGATAGGTGCTGAAAAAATTAAATATATCTACAAGTACAACTCCCGCAAGTAGCAGAGGATATAGCTGAAACGTGATTCAATTTCTTCAATCACCCAGTAGGAAAATTAGACTGGAGCTAGCTCTTCTTCACTCCCTTGCTAAGGGGGAAATCATCAGCATTACCGTGGATGGCTCTTCATACTGGCAAGGGACTAAGGGGCAATCTTTACATCCTCAGAGAAGCTTAAGCCTCAACCGACTTTAAAATCTTAAAGCAATTTAGGCTTAACCCTTAGAAGGCTTTAAAGTGGTTCAAACTGCCAAAGGCCTTTAAAACTGTTTAAGATGCTTATGCCACTCTACATTTTCAGCACGTTGACTGTGGCCTCTACTTAGAATCATAGAATTGTAGGACTGGAAGAGACCTCAAGAGATCATCTAGTCCAGTCCCCTGCACTCATGGCAGGACTAAGTATTGCAGACCATCCCTGTCTTGTAGCATAGAATCTTGGTTATGTCATGGTCAATCAGTTTCTGAATAACGGTGCCCCAATGTGTCCAAAAAAATTGCAGGGATGTAAACATTCAGTAAAATCAAGTCTGATTGTCAGTGCTGGCAAAACAAACATGCCAACCTAGGTCAAGGCATTCTGATGATGTAAATGGCACCTAGAAGAGAGTGAAGTTCTCAAATGCAGATTAATTCTGAAATTGCTTTGCAACAGAAGAAACTGGAGGTAATAACCGCTTTCTGTTGGGCAATGACCTTAGAAGATGTCAGAGTAGATTCTGAGGAATTGGCAAAGCAAAACTAAATGATTTTTTTCATGCAAACCAAGGCATCAGTTGGTCAAAGCTGACTGTTCATCCATAAAAAAAATGAACAGGAATAACTGATAAGGAAGAGCAAAAATAATAACATATGAAATACAAAACAACTCTGAATATCAAAAGGTCTCTGAGAACACCTGAATCTTTTGGAAAATGTGGAAGCCTCACTTAATAGGCTTTGAAGTCTATGCCTTGGATTCCCCATCTCTGAAATACAGATTTTGAAGTCTTAGAGCAGTGGTTCATTCAAACTTCATTGCACCACGACCCCCTTCTGACAACAAAAATTACTACACGACCCCAGGAGGTGGGGGGAAAGGGGGAGCGAAGCCTGAGCCCACCCGAGCCCTGCTGCCCTGGGCAGTGGGGGCCCAAAGCCAAAAGGCTTCAGCTCCAGGCAGTGGGGCTCGGGCTTCAGCTTTGGGCCCGGACCCCAGCAAGTTTAATGCCAGCCCTGGCGACCCCATTAAAATGTTTGAGAACCGCTGCCTTAGAGAATGCTGCCTGGGATTGCCAGAGACCAGCCAGGACAGTACAGTTTGCAGTCTAAGTTTGATATACACTAAAGACAGTGAGTTATCTTGCCAAATGCCAGGTAGTTTTGTGGAGAGGCTTTGGACAATACAGACCCAGAAAGCAGAAGTGAGAATGCTGTCCAAGCATTCTAAATCCAACGAAAACCAGAATGATGTGGTTTTGAAGCGCAAGCCAGCAAAGCACAATCTTCAGGGTCATAACTTAACTCTTTTTAGCCAAGAGTTTCATTTAACTGCTATTCAGTATATCACGGTCACACTATAAATGTGAACTCTCCTAAGTCTTCATTTTTGCAAGACAAAGAAGGGAATCTAGTATTTTCCTTTGCCACAGAATAAAAGAAACAGTTACTTACTGTAACTGTGGTTCTTTGAGATGTGTTGCAGACATGTTTTCCACTTAGGTGTTTGTGCCCCTAGTGTGCCAGAGCCTTTTGCCTTGAAATACTCAGAGGGGTGGCGCTCGTGCCTCGTGGCCCCTCCCCTGGCTATGAGGCAGTGCCGCCCTCACCCCCGCCAGTTCCTTCACACCGAAATCCCATGAGAGGAGACTCCTATGCAGAGGGGAAAGAGGGAGGGTTGTGGAATACACGACTGCATCACAGCTCAAAGAACTAAAAGTAAGTAATTTATTTTTCGAGTAGATGCAGATGTGTATTCCACTTAGGTGACTCAAGCAGTATCCCAATCCGGAGGCAGGGCTTGGAGTCTACTGAAATAGGGATCGCAGGACCACCCTTGCAATGCCTGGGTCTGCTCTGGAAGATGCAGTAAAATAGCATAATAGTCATCCATACATACGTTTACCGACCATGTGGCTGCCCTGCAAATGTCCAGTTTGGAAATGTCACCAAGGAACAGAACACTATCAACGTTGCTTGTGCCCTTGTGGAGTGAGACCTGATGAGGAAGTGTAGCCGAAGCTCTGTCATACGCAGTCTTAATACAGGATGTTATCCATCTAGAGATGGTCTATGCTGAGACCGCTTGCCCTTTCATGTGGTCTGCATATGACATGAACAGACAAGGCAAAACACCAAACAGTCTAGTCCTGTCTAAAGCTAGACATTGCCAGACATCCAGAGTATGGAGGTGCTGTTTCTTTGGGGAGGAATGTAGTTTAGGGAAAAAACACAGATAAATATGCCTCCTGATTCAGATGCAACTGAGAGACCACCCTGGATAAAAACTTCAAGGGTGGTCACGACGTTACCTTTTGCTTGGAGTATTGAGTGTAAGACAGCTCAGCCATTAGAGCCTGCAACTCTCACACCCTTCCTGCCGATGTGATGGCTATCAAGAATGTGGTTTTCTGAAACAGGAGGGGCAGTGGACAGGATGTAAGAGGCTTGAATGGAAGGCCAATCAGAGCCATCAGAATCGTGTTTAAGTCCCACAGGGGGACCAGATCCCAATCTGGAGGATGGAAGTGGAGAAGCCCTTTCAGAAATCTTGACACCATGTCATTGGAAAAAACTGACTTCCCTTAAATAAGGGGATGAAATGCTGATATTGATGCCAAATGCAATTTCAGTGAACTGAGCGCAAGGCCCAATTTCTGAAGATGTAGTAGGTACTCCAAGGTGTCCTGGATGGAAACCCCAGTCAGTTTGGGTCCCACACACCAAGAACCTTTGCCACTTCACTAAGTAGGATATCCTTGTGGAGGACTTCCTGCTATTGAGTAGGGCTTGCTGGCCAACCACCGAGCACTGCTCTTCCTCTTCATTCAGCTAAGTAACAGCCACACCCCTAAGGTGCAGGGAGCTGACCGCAGGATGGAGGGTGTGGCCGTAGCTCTGAGTGAGCAAATTGGGGTGGAGAAGCAGCATTATGGGAAACTGAACTGACAAAGCAAAGAGGTCTGGAAACCTTGGCCACCCTAGAGCAATTAGGATGAGCTTGGCCTGATCCGCCTTGAGCTTGAGGATGACTTGAGGAATGATCAGAGTAGGGAGAAAGGCATACAGAAGAGCTGACTGCTAGCTGCAGTTGAAGGCTTTGGA